CTGGATGAAATCCTAGTTTCTGAAAATTATCAATCCCTTTTAAAACCAATAAAAAAAATACTTCATCAAATTTGAACTACAACCACGACCTTTATTTTGGATCGGATGGAGTAATACATGTCTCCAGAGGACAGGGCAATTCTGAGACTGGGACTCACAACCAACCTTAATTAGCTTGTCTTCTAGCTGTGGCCTGTGATTATCACAGTCACGAACACTGGCCTGTCCTCTATATCTATGTACGCATCATCATGTGGTGCAGACAAACAGCGTGTGCGTACGAGAAGAGAAGAGAAGAGTCAAGGCAACGAAACCCGCACGATCCCACGCACGTTATCATCGGGACCATAATGTAGTACGATCTGGACTGCTGCTCTGACTCTAGAGCACGACAGTGAAGAGACAGACACGGCGACGACAGTACGATCCTGCAGCTAACGGTCGACAAATGGAACTTCTCTTGGCTGTCCCGGATGCATCGCCCTTGCCAATTTCAGATCTTTAAGAAAAAGTATTTTTTTCCAAGCCACCTATTAGCTCGCCTGTGCATTTTCTAATGTAGAGCCCGGGAATGTTGCTCTCTCTTCCGTTGTCTACATAAACCTAAAAAATAAATCATACTCCCTCCGTCCGGAAAAGCTTGTCCCTTAAATTGATGTATCTAGCATCAAGTTAGTGCTAGATTCATCCATTTGATGGACCAGCTTGGGACAATTTTTTCCGGACAAAGGGAGTACTATGCAGCCTTATCTTTTAGGAACATAATGTTTTCTAATAGTTTCTAGCTTACATGTATTTTCCTTATGATCTTCTTTTATGTATGTCCTTTTTTCTTTTCTTCATCAAATGGGCCATAGGATGCACAATTCCAGTCAGGTTACCGAAGAGGTAGTAGGGGAATTGATAGTTTGGGTTAGAAAATCATCTGCTTGGCCGATCACATCACTTTGATGAAAATCAAGGATGATGATCAATCTTTCAAATCATTTCACGACGTCTCACTTTCATTGATTAGACAGGGGGCAACAAAGAATA